TTCATAGTTTGACACTCAAACACTGAGCCACACCGGTGGGGCCAACTACTTTTTATACATTCTTTTCAGGATATTTAAGTTATCTACAGGCAATATTTATGGACAGTGTTTTCTAAATAAAGGGTGAAATGATACAACATTTCAATGACACCAAGAAAAAGCAAGAATTCCCTGTTACCTTGCCCAGACCCTAATCCCTGCAACTAGTTCCTGTCTCCTTTCAACATGTCTTGTGTATGTGTTTTTTTTTTAAACACAATTTATTTTGCATACTTTTCCCACATTACAACAGTACTTAGAATTATTCTCTGCTAAACCCAGCAGAACCACTTAAATTCCATTTCTTTTATGAATTATCATATATTTTCACTCATTTTTAAAGTTGTATAATATTCCACAGTATGAGATAGCCATAATTTAGGAAATTCATTTCTGCAGAAAACTTTTAAAACATTATATCTGTTATTATAAAAATGTAAGTAAAATATATTAAACATTCTTAATTTCACATACATGGAAACATTACTAGAAAATTTTTTTCTAAGTTTCTTTTTAAATCTTTTTTATTGATTTGAGAGAAAGAGAGGAAGAGACAAAGAGAGAGAAATATTGATTTGTTGTTCCACTTATTTATGCATTCACTAATACTGTGACATGTTAAGATGACACTCTCACCAACTGAGCTCCCTGCACTATAGGGCACGGCTTATAGGGTTAAGCCTTGGACTGACCTGTCGGCAAAATCACAAACAAGTCTCAGCTTAGAGGGAATAGTCCTCTTAGAATAATTAGGCTTGACTTTATGAGGCTCCCTCGATCTTATCTGGGTAGCTAAATTTCACAGTAATAATTCTAATGGGCTGAGGGAGATGTAGCAAATGCTGCCAAAATAAGTGAAACTCACAAGAACATTAGCTATGTTGTTGGTGACCACTACCTTGTTTACCTCTGGCAATAAAATAAAGGCTCAGCTTGCCTCTGGATCTCTCTCTGTGGCCTCAGCCAGGCACAGGAAGATCCACCTAGACCCAGCTTATTCTCTTTGTCATTTCTTCATCCATTCACCGCCCTCACTCAGGCTTGTGGAACCCTTGGCTGAGCTGGCTCAGCACAGGCGACTAAGATAAAATTTTGAAAAGTGAAATATCTGAATCAGAGTGTTTAAGAATATTACTTCTAGGTGGCTATTCTCAAAATAATCACCAGAGAGGTTGCAAAGATGCACCCTTCCCTCAGCCTTTCAGAACAGGAAGACTGCACCTTCTTGCTCATAAGCCCCAGAAATTTTGGGAGTCTTGTCTGTTCCCTTATATAAGCCACCCAACAATGATCTTAATATTAAGAAGTCAGTTATTTTACCAACAAATAATGGGTTTACTCAGAAACAGTGAAGAATTGCAATTTGGAACAAGGAAGCCATAGCAAAAGTCATAGACAAGTTCCACAAGGAATGGAAAGAGACCTTATTATGTAGGGAGAAAGGAGGAAGTTGGGAGGGCTCAATTAGAAGGAAAATCCATTGAAGAAAAAGATCAGTTAAAGGTGATATGGTTTCTCAATGGCTGAGTTGCTGGGTAACCCAATTCTCCTGGGAGACACACTGTACATTTCTCTTGTTTACTCTCAGGAGGGGATGTTCAACCCCCACCCCTCCAAACACACCCCATTGATTTTCAGAGAGGGAGTGGAAGGGAGAGAGGGAGGAAGGGACGAGGAGAGCATGAGGGATACATCCCCATGAGAGAAACACATCGATTGGTTGCCTCCCACAGGCACCTCAACCTGAGGCCAGTGCAAACCCATAACCCAAGTATGTGCCCTTGATAGGGAATGGAACCTGCCAACCTTTGGTGCGTGAGCCAAACTCTAACCACTACGCAATATTTGCTGTGGCTGTACCTCTTTCTTGTAGGGGTCTGTAATTGATTATTTTCTCTGCACTTGACCCTGGTATGTGCTATGTGACAGTGCCCTGTTCTGTCTCTCCAACTCCACTTTAGTAAGGTTTCCCTTTATTAAATTTCACAGTAATAATTTCAATTAGTTGGATTATTTCTAATACATGGAAATTATGTTATATTTTTGTGATTAAAACTAGGTAAGGGCCAGATACAGTCTTTCTATTTTATCTTCACAATGGCAAGTGAAACAAGTAGTTAAACTGACCCTTCTCTGTGGCTTCCCATCTTTAAATATGATGTCTTATTTTTATGAAAAGTACTGGTTCTTTTGTTTTGTTTTATTTATGTCTTCTTATTTTTAAAGCCTTTTCAGACCTGCATTACTTAAACATAACGATTACTCATAATGTCACTTCTTTTAAAACCAAAGTGCTGCATTCAGGTCCAAATTTGTCATCTCAGGGACAAAGAGGTAAGCAAAAGCAAAGTTTATTGAGAGAATACACACACACACATATTAGAGGCCCGGGGCATGAAATCCATGCAAGAGTAGGCCTTCTTTTCCCTGGCTGCTAGCACTGGCTCCCCTCTGGCATCCTGAACATGGGCTTCCATCACTGCCCCAGATTCATCCAGAAAGGATGTCTGGAAGAACTTCCAGTCTAATTAGCATATTTCACTTTTATTATTATAGACTAGAGGCCCAGTGTGTGATTGAAATCACGCAAGGAGGCTTTCCACCTTCTGCCTCCCTCCACACAAGGAGGTGACCAATGGGGCGCTGGGACCGAGAGGAGCTCCATGCACTTCATGATGACTGGTTGTTTGGTCGTTTTAGTCGTGATGCCTCTTGGCCTTTTATTATTATGACTAGAGACCCGGTGAACAAAATTTGTGCACGGGGCGGGTGGGGGTTAGGGGGACCCCTCAGCCTGGCCTGCAATGACACCAGCATCCTTCATCCTGGCCTCTGGCCAGAGGCCCCTCCTTCCCTTCATATGGCCAGAGTGTGGGATGATGGGCTTGCATCACCCCCAGAGGCCCCTCCCTCCTTCCATGAGGACAGGGAATGGGACGCTGGGCTCACGTCACCCCAGAGGCCCCTCCATCCCTCTGCATGGTGTCTAAATACTACAGTGTGCCTTTCCTATGAATGAGGCTAGAACCTGGTCAAATCCTCAACAGGGCCTTTCTTCCCTGTGGCTAATTTGGGCTTCCTCATACTGTGGTCTCAGGAAAGTGGATCTACTTTCATAGATTTTAAGAGGCAGCATTCCAAGCAGCCAGGAATCCTGTCCCATGCCTGCATGCTCTGTCCGGAGGCCCTCCATGGCTGGGGTGGGTCAGAACACTGGCGTCCCAGCCTGGCTGTTGCCACCTTTGTTGTGGAGTGATGGTCAATTTGCATATTCTGTCTTTAGTACATAGGATATGTTTGTATATATACATATTTACACTAATAAAAGAGCAAGATGCAAATTGACCATACCTTCACGACACCCACCAGTCAATCATGAGTAAGTATGCAAATTAACAAAAAAGGTGGCGGGGTAAATTGCATACAGGCGCCGAGCAGCGGGGGAAGTGTGGGATGCTTGCGTTGTCACCATGGTGATGAAGCAGGCATTCTGAACCACCCAAGACATTCCAGGCTACTGGGCAGCATGGGAAGCAGAAAGGTGGCTTCAGACCAAGCACAGGTGGTGCTGGCAGCCAGGGAAGGAAAGTCCAATCTTGTATGAATCTTCATGCATCAGGCCTCTAGTATATATATAAAAGCCTAAGCGACCATTCGACTGTTAGCTATGATGCACACTCACCACCAGGGGGCAAACGCTCAACGTACAGGCATGGAAACATGGAACAGACTGATGAATCTCAGAGGGAAGTGGGGAGAGGGGAGGGTGGGAAGAAATTAACCAAAGATCTTATATGCATACCAGAGGCCTGGTGCACGTATATGTATATGTATATGTATATGTATATATATATGTTTATGTATATATATTAGAGGCCTGTTGCACAAAAAGATTCATGCAATAGGCCTTCCTTTCCCCTGGCTGCCTGCACTGGTTTTCCTTCGGCACTGGGGACCCAGGCCTTCGATCCGGCCAGAGCCGCTTTCAAAGCCTTCGCAGCTCTGGCCGGAGCTGCCTTCAGTCTTTGCTCCATCGCTTTGTGGCTACATATGCAAATTAACCGCCATCCTTGTTGGTGTTTAATTTGCATATCTTGCTGATTAGCCAATGGGAAGCATAGCGAAGGTATGGTCAATTACCCTGTTTGTCTATTATTAGATATATATATTAGAGGCCCAGTGCACAAAAATGTGTGCACTCGGCGGAGCGGGCGGGGGGGCGGATCCCTCAGCCCGGCCTGTGCCATCTAGCAGTCTGGGACCCTTCGGGGGATAAACACCTGCTGGCTTAGGCCCGCTCCCCGGGAGATTGGGCCTAAGCATGCAGTCAGACATGCCTCTGGCAGCCCGGGAGCCCTCAGGAAATGCCCACTTCTCAGCGGGAAGCAGGCCTAAGCTGCAGTCAGACATCCTTAGCACTGCAAAGGAGGCAGAAGAGGCTCCCACCACCACCGCTGTATTGGCAGCCATCAGCCTGGCTTGTGACTGAGCAGAACTCCCCCTGTGGAAGCACACTGATCACCAGGGGACACCTCCTGCATTGAACGTCTGCCCCCTGGTGGTCAGTGTGTGTCATAGTGACCAGTCATTCCCAGTTGTTCATCTGTTTGGGTCAATATTATGCTTTTCTTATATAGGATAGAGGCCTGGTGCATGGGAGGGGGCTGGCTGGTTTTCCCTGAAGGGTGTCCCGAGTCAGGGGTGCCTGGCCAGCCTGGGTGAGAGGCTGAGGGCCGTTTTCAGACTGGCCAAACCCTCTTCAGAGAGGGGGGTACTGCTGGGGTGACTGGCAAGCCTGGGTGAGTTACTGATGGCTGTTTGCAGGCTGACCACAGCCCTTTCAGATAAGGGTTCCCCCGTGAGTGCCTGGCCAGCTTGGGTGAAGGGCTGACAGTTATTTGCAGGCTGGCCACAGCCCCCAGCCACCCAAGCTCCCAGTGGAGGCTGGCTGGAAGCAGGTATCTGGGGTTTATTTGTCTTCTATAATTGAAACTTTGTTGCCTTGAGCGGAGGCCAGAGCTGGCCAGGGAAGGCGGGAAGCTTAGCTTCCTACATCGCCGAGGCAACCAAGCATCTTGTTTGCTCCAGCTCTGTGGCTTTTGACCGCCATCTTGGTTGGGTTAATTTGCATATAATGGCTCTTATCGGCTGGTGGGCATGGCTTAGTGCATAGCAAAGTTATGGTCAATTTGCATGTTACTCTTTTATTTGACTAGATATATATACTCTCTCTATATATATATCTATTTATCTACACTAATAAAAGAGAAACATGCAAATTGACCATACATTCGCTATGCTTTAAGCCACCAATCAGAGTGACTATATGCAAATTAACTGAACCAAGATGGCGGCTGGCAGTCATGAAGCTGTTGCAAGCAGGAGGCTTGGTTGCCAAAGTGATGGAGGAAGCCAAGTTTCCTGCCTGCTGCTGTCGGCTCTGAGCTCCACTGAAGGCAACAAAGTTTCAATTATAAAATATAAATAAACCCCAGAATAAAAAAATAAAATAAAAAAAGGAGAGGCTGGGAGCTTCCATCACCGAGGGGCTTGGCCAGCCTGAGAACAGCCCCCAGCCCCTCACCCAGACTGTCCAGGCACCCAAGTGCGGACCCCCCACCCTCAAGGAGATGTGACCAGCCTGAAAACAGCCATCAGCCCCTCATCCAGGCTGGCCAAACTTCCATGGGGTGAGGGTCCCCACTAGGGTGGGCTTGACCAGCCTTCAAATAGCCATCAACCCCCTCACCCAGACTGGCCAGGTGCCCCATTGGAGACCCCCACTCTGAAGGGGTGTGACCAGACTGCAAGCAGCCATCAGCCCCTCACACAAGCTGGCTAGGCACCCCAGCGGGACCCCCACCCTGATCCGGGACACCCTTCAGGGCAAACCAGCCAACCCCAACCCGTGCACCAGGCATCTATCCTATACAATAAAAGGGTAATATGTAAATTGACCCTTACAGCAGAACTACTGGGAATGACTGGTCACTATGATACACACAGACTACCAGGGGGCAGATGCTCAATGCAGGAGCTGCCCCCTGGTGGTCAGTGCGCTCCCACAGGGGAAGCTCTGCTCAGTCACAAGCCAGGCTGATGGCTGCCAGCACAGAGGTGGTGGCAGGAGCCTCTCCTGCCTCCTCAGCAGCACTAAGGATGTTCGACTAGAGCTTAGGTCTGCTCTCTGCTGGTAAGTGGACATCCCCCGAGGGCTGCCGGGCTGCCAGAGGGATGCCTGACTGCCAGCTTGAGTCCAATCCCCCATGGCGCAGGCCTAAGCCAGGAGGTGGACATCCTCCGAGGGGTCCCAGACTGCAAGAGGGCATAGGCTGGGCTGAGAGACCCCCCGAGTGCACAAATTAGGATAGAAGAAGCAATAGGGATGTAGTAATGTAGGAAATGGCAGGGAGCCAGGGAAGAGCCCAAGCCTGGGCTGGGAACCACGCTGCTCCCGCTCATCCCTTCCCCACTGTGCCTACCACAGTGCCGCTGTGTAGCACTGCTGCAGAGGCAGGAGAGGCTCATGACACCACAGCTGTGCTCACCTGCGGTGAGCCCAGTGTCTGGTGTCTGTTGGTCAGCTGAGCAGCATTCCTGCGGTGAGAGTGCACTGAAAACCACTGGGTAGCTCCTTAGTTGAGCATCTGCCCCCTGGTGGTCAGTACGTATCATAGCTATAGGTCAAGCGGTCGCTTAGGCTTTTGTATATATACTAGAGGTGGGGGGAGGGGGTCCCTCAGCCCGGCCTGTGCCCTCTAGCAGTCTGGGACCCCTCAGGGGATGACCACCTGCTGTCTTAGGTCCGCTCCCCAGGTTATTGGGCCTAAGAAGGCAACCAGACATCCCTCTGGCAGCCCGGAAGCCCTTGGGGAATGTCCACTTGCCAGCGGGGAGCAGGCCTAAACTGCAGTCGGACATCCTTAGTGCTACTGAGGAGGCAGGAGAGGCTCCCACCACCACCACTGTACTGGCAGCCATCATCCTGTCTTGTGGCTGAGCAGAGCTTCTCCCATGTGAGAGCGCCCTGACCACCAGAGGGCAGCTCCTGCATTGAGCGTCTGCCCCCTGGTGGTCAG